GATAAGCACCGTTTTATTACTGTTATTATCATGGAGCGAAACTGAATATGACGGTCGAGATCGACTTCCTCTTTATATACATAATAAGAAAACGTTTGAAACCTCATTTGTGTTCCTGGCTTCTGATATCAGATCGGCTGCGAGTTGTTCCATTTTCTTCGCCATCTCTTGAAATACCAGTTTATGTTCCACCTGGTGAGAACACAGAATGAATAGAAGAGGGAAACATATAAGGGTAATCAATACACTCACTCATTATGTAATTCATAATCTCTTCCTCTAAAAGTCACACTTCCGCTTCTATCATTGTTTCTCCCTTTCTCGGTTCAATTCATTTCAGTTCAGTTCATTTCAGTTCAGTTTCTTTTATTTTTGCACGGCACCAACTTCAGCCGAAGGCTGTTCTTCTGTAGGTCCGTGCGCAATATAAAAAATTACATGTACAATTATAAGATAACACATATCATAACATACAAATATTAAAAAAACAAGAACACAGGTATACAAACAAAAATGAAAATGTACAAACCAAGATACTACTACCCCCCCCCCCCTCTCTCTCTCTAATTCCTATCTCGTCTCTAAATTACCCCCTCTCTCTCTCTCTCTCTCTCCCACTCTCTCTATTTCTCTCCTTCATATCATTGTATGACTATGATCTATGTGGACATTTGTAAGGCATTTTGTCCTTTGTCATTTCACTTTGTAAACTCCATGTAACTCAGCCCCAGGGCTGCTAAGTGAGATTCTTTTTAAAAAATACAAAAATAACCAATCCCCCCCAAAATACAAAGAGCTTGACGGAATTCAATATAGAGAAAGCCATAATTCGCTGACACCAGACTTAGTGGAAATCTGCACACATTAATTTATGTTCTAACACCTACCTTGTCACAGTATGAAAAGAAGTGGACAACATAATAAAGAACTTAATTCTCCAAGCGGCTAAATCCACTTTAGACCGAAATTTATTTGTTTGTAGATGAATATGTGCATCTGACACATGAGAATCAAATTTTGCATTTATAACATATTTTTCGAAAGTTATGCCATTTCATTTACAAATTGTCGTTTCATTCCTTGAAGGAGCTAATCTCATAATACCAATTAGTTCATTCGAGCTACGTTTTCCATTATTTTTGTCGAAAAAAGGTGCAATTACCAGTCAAGACGATCAGTGCAAAATTTGAATGAATTTAACATTAAATTACTTTAATGAATATTTTTGGATAAAGCTCACTTTGGATAAAACTCACCTTGGAATGAAATATGTGAAAGTGTTGTTTCTACGGGCATTTTTTTTTTCAACGATTGTTTTCAATATCCTATAAACATTGGCAAAATGATAAAACATGCTCTTCGTGGCACTTTTAACGTGTTTCGCATTGAATTTTAATCGTTAGAGTGGTTTAAACGTGCACAGAGAGAAGGTCGACCGCAGAATCATTCCAAAAAGGGGTACCCCCCCCCCCCACCCCCTAAATTACTACTATAACAGATTATGAAAAATATAATTCATTGCTAGATTTGTTTAAAGATGATATTAATTCTTTCACGCAATATTTGTACCATATATATACACACAGAAGTGAAAATGTTCACGAGAAACTGGTAAAATAAAAGTCCTTGATTAATACACAGAACGCTGTTATGGATTTGTCCCTTTTGGAATGAAACTATTCATACTAGCTCCTTTAAAAACGTTCTGCAATTCAAGTTTTAGAGTTGATATCTATCTTGTTTATATTTTATCATTCTTGGCGCTGGTACTATGACAAAGCTTGTTTTGTATCCCTTTGCAATGACGTTCGTCCCCCCCCCCCTCGACATTTTCGGAGATTGCGCCGCAACCACTTGGAATGTTGAATTGTCGTTTCATGACCTTTTTCCTTCAAGTCTTACGCACATTTTGATACCATTTTCGTCAAAATCGGATATACCTGTAAGGTGTTACATAACAATTAGTATGCGCATGTCATCAAAAACATGCTACAATTTATGCAAATTTATGCAAATTAACCTATGCATTTTCAAATATCATACAAATAATGTAACCTCATGAATTTGAGATGAAGGAAACATTTATTCAATACATTTTCAACATTCTTCACAAGTCTACAGACAAATATGTAGAGTTTTCTGTAAAATGCATAAAATTAGCATTTTGCATAATTAATTAGGCTATAACGACAAAAAATTGCATATTAGGAAAAAACTAATTATACCATCTTGTCCCTTACGTAAATATCTACAAACATGCAAATTTTTCGCGTTCATCGGACTTTCGACGGCCGAGATCATAGGGGGGGGGGGGGGCCTCCCAGGCCCCCCAGTCACGTGGTGCTAAAAATAGCCCAGTACAGTAAGGGTTAAACCTGGAATGTGCAGAAAAAGTTCAAGAAAAAAATAGCAATGTTATTGTCAGTAGTGGATTCTTTATTTGTGTGCAGGATGGATTGTGTTTTGAAGAAGTAACAATGAACTTTTGCAACGTTTCACGTTTGGCTTAACCCATTATTCAGCTGTACTGCACAGTCCATGATTACATAGTCATGCACAGTGGGGCATTAATGAAGAGGGGAATCAACTGGCTTTCCAGTTGAGAAAGCCTTGTTATGGATGACTTTCGTAAAGTTTGAACTTCGACGGAATTTCTTCATTTGTTAGTTATGACAAAGAGATCTCTTGGGTTGTAGTATCTCTTTGGTTAGTATAAACATTTCGAACTCGGAGAAGAACTTTGTAGTAACACATACTTTTTTTTTTTTTTTAACAATTTTGTTTTATTTCTCCAGATGTGTAACACAAACCATGACATACAATTGAATAAAATAAACGTGTTCAATATTGATGCTTTTACATAAACATAATTAAACACAAACTTATTTGCAGTATAATATAACTTAACAACAAAGTAAATGTATAAGTACCTAAACATAATATGTCAATTGTAAATGTTATTTACTTATATATTACAAAAAAAAAACAAATCTGGAGATAATTTTACTGAAACAATCCTGCCCCCTCCCTGCCCCCTACATCACACAGACATACTCACCCTCTATCACACAAACATACTCACCCACTCACACACATACTCACCCACCCACCCACCCACCCCCCCCCCACACACACACACACACAGTACTCACTCAGTGGATGTCTGCCAACATTCTCAACTTAAGAAAAATATACTAAATAAGTTATCCAGGCCGCAAAATCGAGTTACGCTTTTAACAAGCTCACGGTGGAGAAGAAAGCAAATCTTAATTAATCTTAAGCTGCTCCCACTTTAAAAAATGTGATCCTAGCTTTCCCATTTTAATTGCTATTTTCTTTTCCTCATCCCTATACTTAAAAATGCTTTTTTTCATCTTTTCTAAAGTTAGTACTCGCCCCCCCGATCTTGACATAAATGTAACATACTTCACCATGAAAATGATAGTATTACACATTTTTATTCTATATGAACTACCTACCAACCCAACAAATATATCTCGCCATTCTAAATCTTTAATTTCATCTAACTCAAAAAGTTGTATTAAAGCCTGCCATAACCTTTGAACGCTCCCACAAGATAAAAATAAATGTTTGTATGTTTCTATTTCCTGCTTACAAAACGAACATAAATTATCACCAACAAAACCAAATCTATGAAGATGCTCATTAGTGTATATGGCTCCATGCAATAATTTAAATTGAAATTCACGTTGTTTTCTAATGAGTATAGTAATTCTTGGTCTCACAAATATTTCTTTTAATTCTTTATCTATAAAATCATAGTCATTTTGCCCATCCCTTACCTGCAAATCATACGTTCGCTGCAGTGCTTTGATGAAATAATCATAGATTGTTCTTGAACCCACATCCACAAACTGTATTTTTTTACTAGAAATATGGAAATAAGTATTAAAGCTTATCAAATCAACCTCGAGGAATTCTATTAACCCTGAATCATCCTTCCATAACCTGGGTATCGCATCATAAATATCAATAATCATAAGCAAATTATTACCTTTCATACCGAGGTTCATAAAATATTTAACAGGCTTAACATGACCTTTCTCAACCAAATGATTCAGTTGAACAATCCCTCTTTCAAACAAGTATCTATCAAATATACTTTTTCCATTTATACATATATTCTGATTATTAAAAATAATTGGATTAATATAACCCTCCAAATATCTTAAATTACTTGTCTCTTGCCATGCTTGCAACATTTCCATATAGTATGGTGGAATATCTAAAACGAGTTTAATCTTGTTTAAATCATAATCACATAAAAAAATAAATCTACCACCCACAAACTGTAAGCAATGATCAAAAAACAATTTCCATCCCAAACTTTTCTCTCCATATAAAAGACGTTTTATCCACATTATGCGCTGTATTTTAACGGACATTTCAAAATTAATCATTCTTAATCCTCCAAAGTCATAATCCTGATACATTATTGCCCGTTTAATTCTATCTTTCCCCCTCCATATGAATTCAAATGAAATTTTTGCAACTTCTTTATATACCCAATGAGGGACAATAACGAGAGATGAAATATAATTTAATTTTGAAAGCGCATAAGTTTTTAGCAAATGTATTTTACCCATAATAGTTAAATCTCTTTGTTTCCACCATACAAGCAATTTTTTTATTTTACTTAGAATTTCTTTATAATTCAAATCATCTTTTAAACTTCGATCTAATGAATAACTAACCCCTAAAATATGTATTTCCTTAACCAAATTTCCAAATAAAGGCCCATCAGGTTTGTTCTCATCCTCACCCATCCACATAAAATGTGTCTTTGTTTTATTCACTTTAAGACCACTAATTTTTTCAAATGATTCAAAAATATATTGCAACCTTCTAACCGAATCAATATCCTTCAAAAATATTGTCATATCATCTGCATATAACACTTGCCTAATTTCAGATTTTCCAAATGTAATCCCTTTAATACCGTTGTCCCTCCTTACTGCATGCGCCAAAATTTCGATGGCAACCAAAAACAAATATGGCGATAATGGATCCCCTTGCCTTACTCCCCTTTCTATTTCAAAATACCCCGTGGAGTGACCACCGTTCATAACACAACTACTTATCCCTTTATACAATAATTTTACCCAAGAGCAAAATGAATCTCCAAAACCGAACAATTTCAATATTTGAAATAAATATCTATGAGATACAGA